CTAAAAGTGTGAGCGCTACCCAACCTAAGTAGTCTGGGTAAGATAAAAAGGGCAGAAAGACACTGTTAAGGCCCCACGTTGTTTTGCTACCTTCTTTCTGCCATGAACTGTTGCTCCTCTGCAGTTTGGCACCCTGCCTAATATGGACCCAGCTGATTATGCACCCACCTGATTATGGACTGAAACCTATACAAACTGTGAGCTAAATAAACTTTTCCTCCTTTAACTTTGGGTGTTGGATATTCTGTCTCAGCAATGAGAAATTCTAAGACACCAGGTGAATAAACTCTAAAGATTAAATAGATAGCCAATTTGTTCCAGAACTAATTTCTATGCCAATATCTTTAAAATACTCTGCAAGTATAATCCAAAAAGAGGCATGGATAGATACCTTTCCACCATCTGAGAATGAAGCTAGTATGCTTCTTAGCAAGAAGAGACAGCCATACTGTCTACTTAAAGTCAGGCACTCCATTACCCCAAAACAACTCTTTCAACAGCCTAGTTGCTTGCAATCCCTGTTCTTATTTAATGCTAGGGCAAAACATTTCATTTCATATTCAGGATAAGACTTACATTCCAAGTACCTTGAGAAAGGTAATGTTGGGCTAAAGATCATTTTAAATTAGAAATGACTCCAGAGTGGGCAACAAGAGACAGGTTGAATGCAAATCTAGAGCAGAAAAACAAGATGTGGTTTAATTCCCTAATTCTCAATTTTAGCTGGGACAATCAACAGATAGAATACCAATCAATTAAAAAACTTCATTAAATGCCAGGAACTATGCTAGCTAGGTACTGAGGGTAAAGTAAAGACAAGAATGGCAAAACGCAACACTGTATTAATGTGTATGAGAAACTTAAAGCCCATCAACAGAAAGAAATAAAACCCTTACAAGTTAACTTAGAATAATACATTGAATGTGCAACAGGAAAACTGAACCATGCAAAAATAGTCTTCAGCTGTTAAGTGGTTGAGTCGGGAGTTCCAAAGAAATTTAAAAAAAAAAATAGCACTTGACTTGGATTTGTAAAGATGTTAAACATTTTGCCAGGTGAGGAAATGGTGGAAGGTAGAAGTTATTTCAGGCAAAGGGAACATAAAAGCAAGGCATGGAAGCGTGAAGAGTACATGGAGTACTTATGGAAAAATCACTGAAGGCTTGGTGGGTCTTAGTTTCCAGAGAAGGTTGGGGCTGCCTCTACACAAATACTTCCTTACATCTTTCTTTATAGAGGCTTATGCTTTTCAACTTTTTCTGAGATGAAACACGTAAACTGTTTATTTCTTATTTAAACCATGAATCAATGAAAACATCAGGCATTTCAAATTATTTATTAAAAACTATTGATAGAAATGAACTAAGGGTACAGTTGATTTAAAATTACAATTTGAAGGTTAAAATGAGCTGTTCTTATTAATAGACTCTTTGGACAGTCTACAGGGACTCTTTCATCAAAGTAATTCAGTTCTTTTGGCAATAGGCAACAGTTGACAACTAGATAATAATCTGTGGCGAAGTCAACCAGTTTGATTTCATCATTTTCCTTATTTTCCTTGCTGTTACACATACTATTTATCCTTTTTTCCATACTATTTATCTTTAAATTAAATACCAAGTGCCTAGAATATTTCTGTGCTTGCTTAACTCCTATATGGGTTGCACATTTCAAGGCAAGATTTCTGCAGTTCCACCACATGTCCACTAGAGGCCTGTGAAGATCTTTTTTTCCACCCTACACATACTGCAGTCTCGTAATCCAAAAGGCCACAACTAAAACAAATAGGATACTGTAGTGGTTAAATATCAGTACAGCAAAGAGCAAAGGCTAAACTGATAGGTACCCTTACAGTAAACACCGTAATTATGAATAAACAACTAACCACAACAAAACAAAATGCAAGATTTTCAAAGCTCCAAAATATCAAATTGCAAAACTTGCAAAATGAATAGTGCATAATGAAGAAAACAAAATATTAAGGAAAAATTTGAAAGCTTCAGCAACAGTTCCAAAGGCTGCCAGGCATTAACAGGCTTTAACTAAATAGAAGCATATACCAGGTGATAAAAAAGCAGGAACAAGAATTGCCAGCAGCCTGTATAGGCTTCTGTATGGGCTTCCTGAGCTTCTGGTGTAAATTCAATACAAAAGGCACGCTCCAAACAGAGGGTGTGGTCCTGGGTGGGAAAGTAAACAACAGAGTAATTTAAGACAGATGGGTTAAAAAAATACTTCCTAACCAGCAACTATATGGCAGTCAATGGGGAAGACAGCTGAGATATGTTCTCCTTGGACACTGAGAGAACACAGGCCAAAATGGGACCCTAAGGTGAAAGATCAGAGCAATTAAATTCTCAAGGGGAAAATGGGTACGGTACAGTAAATACATAACATGTCTGATCTGCAAAGACAGCCAGAAGAATGTGCATAGAGAAAAATTGCCAGAAGAGATGAGCTACCCTGTGACAATCTCCTTGACCTCTTGTCAAACTCAAAACAAGGCTTCACTGAATGCCTCCTCCAAGAAACAAAAACACTGAAAGTAACATCAGTGGCACCACGCACAGGCACATGTACACACACACACACACACACCCTACTGCTAGTCTATTTACAGAAAGGGCCTGATTTTTTTCATCAGGTTTAGTTAATTAGCAATCAGAACACAGTTCTATGGGATTGGAAGAAAGATCCTTTTGTTTGGAAAACCTGTGAAAATATTCCCTCAGAAGCTTGTAACTTTCCCTACAGATCACCCTGGCTCGAGGACAAGCCTGGGTGCCAGGAGGTTCTGTGACCCACACAGAGCTCACATTCAAAGGCCGTTCTCTTTGTTGTCCCCTAGGATTTAAGCTTTAATGGGTTTACAACTTTTCGGAGAATGGCAGGGCCCTTGTTATTGGCTGCCAGAAACAGAGCAGAGACAAACCCCAGTGAATCCTACAGCTGCTGAGGCTGCTCCAGCCACTCTATTGGTGAGAGGAGCAGTTGCCAGAGGCATTTCAAAGACATGCAAGGACACAGGGAGACTTTATGAGTCCTGGAAGTGAAGTGCAATTATTGAGAGCAGATGGTCAGTCCACATGATGAAGAAAGAGATTTGAGCCATCCTTCTTCAGTGAAGACCATGGCGAGTGGTAATTCACAGAGTCTTAGTGTCCCTGAACAAATCCTGCATGGGAAAACTCTTCAGCTACAACGTGAAATCATCATGTGCTACCAGGTAGCATTACTGCCACACTCCTGACATCTAAACCTCAATCACAATTTGGACACGACAGAACCAGTGCATGCACATCTTACCTTGGTTTAGAAGAAAAATGGGTTTGGTATCACCGGTGGAAACATGAAGAATACTCATCTTGTCCTAGTGGCAGCTCGCCTAAATATTGCCTCTAATATAACTTTGTCCAACCCCTTATTTCAGAAAATCTTCATCTTAAACAAAGATACATAGATACTGGGACAATGTGCAATGCTTTTGAGAGTAAACATTTCATAATCTCCTTTTGCAAGCTATATCCACTTTGTTTTCCCCCACCATCCTTCCCGTCAGGGCTGCTATTTGATGCACGGGGTTCTGTTTTGCTGAAGTCTCAGCCCATTTCCTGTTATCGTGATGTTGATTCATCTGAGAATCACATTATCTCTTTTAAAATTCTGTTTATGTAGCCTATAATGATGCCTAAGGTCAATCTTTATTCATTCTGAGTCTGAATGATTAATTTCTTTAATTTGTGCAAAGTACTCTTACGGACCCCTGATGTACAGGCTGTGCATGAAACACTGGGAATGATGAGTCTCACCACACAATTCCAAGATGCTAAAAGCTAAAAGCTGTTTGAAAGAAACAAATATTGGGGAAATAATTCTAATAGCAGGAAGGGTTAAAATAGATGCAAAATCCCAATCTGTGGGCATATAAAGAAGGAGAAAATAATACTTAATTCCTATTGGAGAGCCTGGAGTACTAATTTTGAAAGATAGTCTAGGTTGGGCCATATCTAGCACAACCTACCTTACTAGTTTTACATCTGAAACACTTGCATCCCATAAAACACTTCAGTTGGTCATAAGGGACAGTAAGAACATAAGCTAGATCTCAAGGCTGAAAGAAAGTCTCGGAGCAGTGGGCCGGGGTGGGGTGGGGATGAAGGTTTGACCTAGAGCTGTGGACTGAGAAGCCATCCCTGCACAAAGCCCAGGGGAAGGGTGAAGACACTCAGGAAGCACAGTGTGGTACAGCACATCACTCAAGGCACAGGGGATAAGGGCTGCACTGCACAAGGGTGGTGGCTGAATGGCTGTCTAGGCTGTACATACCCTACAGATTCGCAGTGCAAGAACTCCTACTACATACACATGGGGCCTCCTTCAGGTCACATCACTGACCTATAGGCATTGGCACTGGAAATCCCTGCAGTATGGGTAAGGGATCAGAGGGTGAACAGATTTGAGGGTGTTGTTTTCAACCCTGTGTGCCATCTTGAGTCTAAGAAAGCATAATAAAAACTTACAGCACTTTTTCACATTTATTGTATCACTTCTGAGCTCTGTGTACCCTACAAGAAAGGAATGCGATGGTTTAGAATGGTCTTGGCCACATGGCCAGCAGCAGCAAAGCTAGAACTCAAACTGCAGATGGCTCTGACTCCAGGCCCCATGGCCTCTAACTTTACCTGAAACTGAAGGTATGAATGGCTTCATGATTGAGTGTCATTTTAGTACAGTGCTCTCCTCTTATCCATGCCTGAAATCCAAGATATGATGAAAACCCTCAATATCCTGGGTTCCACACTGCATATTCAATTGTGATAGTGAAGATGGATTTTCAACTTGATTGGCTTGAGAGCTATTAGTAAAGCATGCTTCTGGGTGTGTCTGGTTGCATCATGAAATAGTGACCTTGGGGACTATATCTAGTCCCTCTTCCTCTCTGGGGTTCTATCCCTGGGCTCTGTTTCCGAGTCACCATGAGCTAAAGAACTTTGCTGTACACCAATCTTCTATCACTATATTGTTGCCCTGGAGCCAGCTGACAATGGATTGAACCCTCTGAAACTCTAAGCCAAAGAAACTTCTGTCCTTGCAGGTGCCAGGTATTTTATTCAGCAATGGGAGAGCTGACTAATATACATCAACCACAGCATCTTAAAAATATTCAGAAAAAGATTGTTCCTGTATTTACTGATCATGTACTGACTTTTTTCTTTGTTATTATTCCCTAAACAACAACTTTTACAAGCATTTGCATTATATTGGTCATCTAGAGAAAATTTAATGTATAGGAAGGTGTGCATAGTCCTATGCAAATATTATACCATTTCATATAAGGAACTTGACCATCTTTGGATTTTGGTATCTATGCAGGTCTTGAAAAAAGCCCCCAGCAGATAGGGAGGGAAAAGTATATTACTATGTTTTTTCCTATGATATATGCTTATTATGATATAAACTATTTTACAAATTTGTCAAAACAGGAGATTAACAACAATAATTAAAAATAATAATAAGAACAACTCTAACAATACACTTAATAAAAATTTATATAATTTATATAATTTAATAAAAATTATATAATTATGGTATTTATTTATTCATGCAATTTACTTTGTTAGTTTTGGACTGCAGTTGATCACTGGTAATTGTAACCAAGAAAAGAGGAACCATGGATATCTGTGGAGATACAACTGTATAATCTGTTAAATTGTTTAGGTCATAAATTAGTAAATCAAATCCTCAGTACAGATGAAAAATTAATCAATTTATAATTTCTCCTCCTCCTTCAGAGTCTCTCAATCATTCTTGTGAAACCTTAGTGACAGAGATTAGCACTGCTCAGTGTGCAAGACATTCACTGTTGGGAGCATCGTGGACAAGCTGAAGGTACATAGCACCATGTTTGTACACATATGTGGCTTCTAAGAACATGCATACAGAGAAAAACCGGCTAGATTGGCTGCTCTGAATAGACTCTTTAAATTCCTGGATCTGGCCCCACTGAAGTAATGATTTATCAAGCAGTTGTTGACATCTGTCCCTCAACATGGAGTACTGTTATGTACTGTTATGGTACCCGCTTTTCTTGTCACAAACTGGTTTTTCTGTCCTTTCTCCTCAGTGGGATTTGAATTTGTTCTCCCAAGAAAATGCTCCAGATGGGCCAGGGATTTAGCTCAGTGGCGCGATTCCTGACTTGCAGGAGTGAGGTCCTGAGTTCAATTCCCAGTTCAGAAAGAGAGAGAGAGAGAGAGAGAGAGAGAGAGAGAGAGAGAGAGAGAGAGAAAGAGAAAGAAAAGAAAAGAAAAGAACGGAGGCAGGGAGAGATGGAGGGAGGCAGGCAGGCAGGCAGGAAGGAAGGAAGGGAAATCTCTTGAGAATACAGAAATTCAGGCCTAGCTATTTTTAATGGAGACTGCCAGCCTTCCTCTGTCTATCTATACTTGAGTTCTTCAAACCCATGCTATCTTCTCTCTTTTATCTATTGGGTTCTCTAAAATGCATCCTTTACTTTCTCACTTGCATATATCCACAACTGGCCATGGATTCCTCATTAGTAAAATGGCAGTACTTGATATTCACCGCCCTTGCAAAGGTTCTGTGAAAATTTGCTATGAAGATTGAGGGAATTTTTGAATTGTGTAAAGTGATTGTCCATTTTCTTATAACATCTTTTAAAATAAAGCAAAAATACTGTGATTTTATCATCCTACCTCCGACAATTAAGTCCTCTTTGGTCCAAGGCTAGTCATGTAATCTGATATATCAGTTTCCTAGTGAAGAGAATAATTGGCGCCTGCCCAGATGGGCTTGCCAGATTTAATTAATTATTACTGAAAAATCTAATGATATGAAGAAAAAGTTGCCTTGTAAATGCTCCATAGCAACAATTGCACACAATTCTAGATATTTCTATCTTCAAAATGTATAATTCCTCATAAGTATCTTTATTTACCTTTTGATACCCTCTCTATTCAATTTTTTTTCTGCCACAAAAATTCACTCATGGTAAATTTGTATGTATTTATCTGTATTTCTGGCTTTCCAATGTTGTAATGACATGAAGTATTGTCACAGCAAATGCCAAAGAAAGATGAGGAAATTCCAGTGATTCTCAACGTGGAGTCCTCAAGCCACCACCAGCAGCAGCAGCAGCATTTGAGCCCGTAGCACCCCAGATGGGCACCAAGACACACCAGGCATTGTAGCAGGCCCATGGGTAGCAGGGAATACTTTAACGTTTAAGAGATTCACAGGCACGCTGGGTGCTGTCAGACATGCAGCAAACTGCCACACAAAGGCAGTTCACACTTCCAACATGAGATCCTCTCAGTGTTTCTTTTCCTGAGGCTGTGTTTTTAGCAATTGTTGTGATAGAAAAGCTGGTGCTATGTGAAAATCAATGTGGAATAGGAAATAAGGGTGTCAGTTGACAACCTGCTTCCAAAGTTGGAGATCCTGCAGTTTCTGACCACTTTTATTAAGCCACTGTGATTATTAACAGGGAAGTAAAATATTACTTGTCCTCCATATCCATGGGTTCCACATATGCAGATTCAACTAACAATGGGTTGAAGACATTTGGAGGGAAAACACACCTACATTGAACATTTACAGGCTTTTTCTTTGTCATTATTCCCTAAACAGTACAACACAGTAACACTTTTCATAGCACTTATATTATATTAGGTATTATAAGTCTCCTGGAGATGATTTTAAATATACCAAAAGATATGTACATGTAAGTTGTATGAAAATACTGTTCTATTTTATGTAAGGCACTTGAGATTTGGGTATCTGTGGGCGTCCTGGAATGAACCCCCCACAGGTACTAAATTACTTTTCTTTTAATTTAAATATACTTTAAAACACAGTTACTAAGGCTGGGAATTTAGCTCAGTGGTTCCGCCACCTGCCTCGCAAGCACAAGGTCCCCAGTTCAATCCCTGGAACCAAAAAAAAAAAAAAAAAAAAAAAAAAAAAAAAAAAAAAAAAAAAAAAAA